TTATAATAACATTAATGTTAAAATTTTACAAAAGAGGGACATCCAAATATTATCTTTCAGCAAATGTTTGTTCAGTTGTTTACTGTCAGCAACTGTGTTATGGTGTATATGCAAATGTTTAACATTTCAAGTTAGTTTATTGTCAAATGTCACAGAGACTATGTCATATATTACAAACAAATTTATTATTAAATGTGTCTTGTAGTACCATGATCTTTTTTTTTGGGTGTGTGTGTGTGTGTGGGGGGGGGGGCAATACTGGTAGTATAAACTAAATAAAAACTAAATAAGACTAGATGTGTGCTCATGACCAGGCCCTGAGTAATTCTGTTGCTTTTCTTCCCAACTGGATTCAAACCTGGTTTCTTGTATTTCAGCCTCCCGCTCTTCTTGCAGAAGCTCAAGAGTCTTTAAAACAAATTTTTCCAATGCCATTGCTTAATATATCTACAAAAATGTAAAGACAAAAATAAAAATTAGTTCCAGAAATAACAATATATGACTTTACTGTATACATTCACAACAGTAGAACTATACAGTGAATCATGAGTCATTTTATTATCAAACACAAAACAAGATACATTTGACTCTTCAGATTTAGTGTAATTCAACTGCATATCCTAAAAGTCTGGGTCTATCTTTGAAATAAAACTGGTTAAAATTAGAAATTATCACAGTAGAATAAATAAAGCTTTAACTTTCAACACCTGAGTGTTTACATTCTCTGTAATGTGAAGTAGAGCTTAAACCCGTGACCCACTGCCCTGCATGTTTTAGTTGATTCCCTGATTCAAATAATTTAATTACCRATTCAGAATGTCACCAGGTTTAGCAGAAGTCTGTCAATCACGCATTAGTTTCATCTGTCAGGATAACATTTTGCTTAAAACATTTCTTAAGTAAAAAACCAAGTGGTAAAAATTTAAATTCTAACTTAATTCGTAGTCCGTGAAGATAATACTCAGAATTAACAGGAGTACATGATCATGTGGAAAAAAACAAGTAGCTCTGAAAGACGTTTAATTGTTTAGACACACCACTATGAATAACTTTGAAGTTCAATGTTGACGCGATAGCTATATTTGAACACAACTCACATAAAAGCTGATAAAGACGCTTACCTGCTGCTGAGTCACCAAGATGTGAAAATATAAGAATAATGTAAGTGTGTTTTGGTCAGTCTGTTTCGTTGTGTTGCTCCATTGTGTCTTCCTTCTTCACGTCTTCAGACTGCCACCTATTGGCTAGGAGGACGCTTTTTTTCCCCCTCATCACAACTTTTATTTTGAAAACCACCCAAACACGGAAGTTGCGTAACTTTGTTGACACTCCTCCAACAACGTTTGGCTAAGTTTTCTAACACGTCTACRGACACTCAAAGCTACGTTGTGCTTCAGTTCTCACACATTTTTTGTTGAATGTATTTTGCAGCATGATTTTAATCTGGACAGGCTGTGATTGTGTCATCGTGTGAACTCAGACCTTCTTGTGTTGGTTTTTAATCCGCCACATCTCTGTCAGTCAGGAAGGAAACGCACACTTACTGCAGGGAGCCAGCAGAGCTTTAGTCGGACAGTTTCTGTTTAGCTGCTCGTCACCGCTGACTTTTTGGAAATGAAAACCGTGTTGTTGTTGCTGCATGCCGTCTCGTCCTGCTGGCTGGTCAGCGCCACTCTTTCAAAAACGGACGCAAAGAAGCCGCATAAAGCWGAATCTGAGGTGAGCACCTCGTCTCTACCTGTGACCTGTCAGTGCACGATGACTGGACTTAACCTGSTGGATTATTGTTTACCTGTGCCTTCCTGTTTAGACCTCTCCAGCTGAGTTATCTGTGCTGGACAGAGGTCTTGTTGTCTCAGATTTGCAATGGAAAGACATAGTGAAGGAGGAGAAGAGATACTGTGCGAACATACAGAAGACATTTGAAGGACCTGTTCTTGGATATATCACCCCAGTGAGTCTGACACACTATTGTCCAGCCTTTATTGAACACAGATTTGAGTGTTTATGKTTCACATCCTCCCTCATGGACCTAAATTAGCAAAATGTAGTGAAAATTWAAAAAAAAGGGTTCACTGTATTTCATCTGATTATGCTTCAGAGCAAGTTAACAAAAGAATATTTTAATAGAATATAAAATGTGGTTGAGATTAAACTAGTAGTGTGCATATTTACCAGGAGCAAATCTAATTACATCCAATTTTTTTTAATTTAGTGTATAATTATTGGAATTTTATTTTTATTTTAATCAAATAATTTACAAACTAAGTTTTTAAGTAGAAATTTGCTACGTTAATCATTTTTAACAATATGACATAAAACTAATGCACTTTTTTTTTTGCATAAAAGCAGGTTCATAACTTAAATCTTTGTCTTGATGCAGTGTTTGGTCTTTTATTTTCCATCCTGCAGTGGAATTCCCACGGATACGATGTTGCCAAGCTGTTCGGCTCCAAACTGACGTCAGTGTCTCCGGTTTGGCTTCAGCTCCGCCGGCGGGCTCCTGAAACCTTCGACGTCAGAGGACTCCACGATCACGACTCTGGTAGATGAGTCACTGCATTGACAGTCAAATCAGAAGTCTCTGGTGTTTTACATGAAGATTTTTATTTATTTATTTATTTATTTATTTTGGTAGGTTGGGTCAAAGCAGTACGCAAGTCAAACAAAAAAGTTCGGATAGGTGAGTAAGATGGTTCGTTAGTGCAGATCGGTGTGAGTAGGTTCATCGCAGACAGTCTCTTATTTTTCTACAATTGTTTGATCCGCAGTGCCTCGCATCCTGTTTGATGGCTGGTCCTATCAGGACTATATGAGCGTGCTGGGGAGTGAAGATGAAATCGAGGAGCTGGCGAGTGAGCTGGTGGATGTTGCGAAGGTAATTTATGTGACGCGTTTACCTGTGAGGCCCTTTTAAATAATTTCTGTGTTTGCTCGATACCTGACGTAAAAGCTGTGGCCTTCCAGACCGAAGGATTCGATGGGTTTACCCTGGAGCTCTGGAGCCAGCTCGGAGGCAACAAGAGAAAGTGAGTTTTTCTGTTGGCAAAATTAATGTTGGAAACTCTGGCTTTTTTATCAATTCAGTTAAAAAACAATAAATGAACACATATATATTTCCCCCCACATATAGGGAGCTGGTTCATTTGGTGAAACACATATGTGAGACATTAAAGGCTAAAAAGTTAGACTGCGTTCTCGTTATTCCCCCATCTGTGACGAGGTGAATGAAGTTATTCCACATTTAGCAACTATTTCAGTAGAAATTCCCACTGATTGATGCTTAAATATTTATCCTTTTTACATCAGTACGGGACAGCCGGGGATGTTTGGCAGGGAGGAGTTTGAGGAGCTGGCTCCATTTGTTGATGGATTCAGCCTTATGACATACGACTACTCCAGCGGTCCCAGGTGGGCAACAAAGACTCAAAGTTCAGACAGAAGTTGTTGACCCACAGCAAGAAAATATAAATCAAACATGTCTTTTTTTCTTTTTGTTCAAACAGGCCAGGACCGAGCGCCCCCCTCCCCTGGGTCAGAGAATGTGTTCTCCAGCTGGCTCCTAAAACTCAGTGGAGGGAAAAGATCCTGCTTGGACTCAATTTGTATGGCCTTGATTTCTCAAGCCATGGAACTGAGCCAATCCTGGGGGGAAGGTGAGACAAAACTGCTAGAAAATAATTGATTTGAGGAACGAGTGGCGCGTAAGATCAACGGATCAATCAGTACAGGTTCTGCAGTACCGTGGACCCTGTTCTGGTCTGTTGTGGTGAAGAGGGAGCTGAGCTGTTTGTTCCTACCCTCACCTGTGGTCATGAACTCTGAGGTACCCCCTGAACATGACTCCCTGCTCAAACTGCTGCCCCCGTGACCCACCTCTGGAACAGATAATGGCTGGAATTCATACCTTTTTAGTTTCTTTTGAGTTTTCAGTCAGGAGTTAATTCATGCTGAATTACGGAGCGAAATTATGTCTCCAAGGTTTCCTGATTTATCATTCTGTATACAACAAATACAGATACAACAGGTAAAATAAGTATTGAACACGTCACCATTTTTCTCAGTAAATATATTACTAGAGGTGCTAATGACATGAAATTTTCACCAGATGTCGGTAACAACCCAAGTGATCCATACATACAAAGAAATCAAACCATAAATGTCCAGAAATGAAGTTATTTGTAATAATGTGGAATGGCACAGGGAAAAAAGTATTGAACACATGAAGAAAGGGAGGTGTAAAAAGGCATGGAAAGCCAAGACACCAGCTGAACTCTCTCAGTAATTAGAAAGCAAGCCTGCCCCTTGTCAGTGCAAGTTAATATCAGCTGGTTCAGTCCCAAATGATGGCCAGGTATCACACAAGAACCATCTGATGATGGGTAAAAGTAAAGAGCTCTCTCAAGACCTTCACAACCTTATTGTTGCAAAGCATAATGATGACATCGGTTACAGAAGAATGTCTAAACTTCTGAAGGTTCCAGTGAGCACTGTTGGGGCCATAATTCAGAAGTGGAAAGAACATTATTTCACCATAAACCGACCACGACCAGGTGCTCCTCACAAGATTTCTGACAGAGGAGTGAAAAGAATTATCAGAAGAGTTGTCCAAGAGCCAAGGACCACTTGTGGAGAGCTTCAGAAAGACCTGGAATTAGCAGGTACGTTTGTTTCAAAGAAAACAATAAGTAATGCACTGAACCACCATGGCCTGTATGCACGCTCACCACGCAAGACTCCACTGCTGAAGAAACAGCATGTTGAAGCTCCTTTAAAGTTTGCTGCACAACATTTAAACAAGCCTGTGTAATACTGGGTGAATATAGTCTGGTCAGATGAGACCAACATTGAACTGTTTGGATGCCAGAATACACATCATGTTTGGAGGTCAAATGGCACTGCACATCAGCCCAAAAACACCATYCCAACAGTGAAGTTTGGAGGTGGGAACATCATGGTGTGGGGCTGTTTTTCAGCATATGGTACTGGCAAACTTCAAATAATTGAAGGAAGGATGAATTGAAAAATGTACAGAGACATTTTTGATAAAAATCTGCTTCCATCTACCAGGATGATGAAGATGAAACGTGGCTGGACATTTCAGCAAGACAATGAGCCCAAACACAAAGCCAAGGAAACTCTCAGTTGGTTTCAGAGAAAGAAACTAAAGCTGCTGGAATGGCCCAGCCAATCACCTGACCTGAATCCAACAGAAAATCTATGGAAAGAACTAAAGATCAGAGTTCATAGAAGAGGTCCACGAAACCTTCAAGATTTGAAGACTGTTTGTGGAAGAATGGTCCAAAATCACACCTGAGCAATGCATGCCACTAGTTTCTCCATACAGGAGGCGTCTTGAAGCTGTCATTGACAACAAAGGCTTTTGTACAAAGTATTAGATAAATTTCAGTAAGTGTGTTCAATACTTTTTCCCTGTGCCATTCCACATTATTACAAATAACTTCATTTCTGGACATTTATGGTTTGATTTCTTTGTATGTATGGATCACTTGGGTTGTTACCAACATCTGGTGAAAATTTCATGTCATTAGKACCTCTAGTAATATATTTACTGAGAAAAATGGTGARGTGTTCAARACTTATTTTACCCGCTGTATGCAGAAATGTCAGACTTGTATGATCATTTTGCAACACTTCCTTTTGTAGAGATGCTTGGCGATAATCTTTTGCATCTCATATAGCTGTATTGAGTTGTTTAAAACAGTAGTGTGTACAACCAGTGAGCATTAATTTGTCACATTGTGGAGTTACATTGAAGCAAAAATCTGAATAAGTTCTTAAGTCTTTTTGCTCCACTTTTTTCCTATCAAAACCTGGTGCCAAAAAACACTATCAAGATTCAACTGCGTTGAGCTAAATGCAGTTAATCCTCGTTATATCCATGAATTCGCCTCAAAATCAGATGAAGTAAAAAGAAATGTCCGTAAAAAGTGTTAATTTAAACGTTCAACTCAAAGTATTTATGTGTAACTAATATAAATCACGACCAGATGCACAACAAAAGTCAAAATGTGGTTATAATAAAGAATGAACACAGATTTTACTGAGACAGMGTATTTTAATGTTCTCTATTTGTGGTTTCCTGAAGGTACGTAGAGATTTTGCGAGAAAACAGGCCCAAAATCCTCTGGGATGAATATTCTGCAGAGCATTACTTCAGCTATAAAAGGTACAGATTAAGACTAAATAAATGTTAAAATATGGTTTAAATATGCTTGATTCTGAAACCTTTTTATATAAATGACTTTATCCTTCTTTCMTGTCAGAAACAATGCAGTCAAGCATGTGGTGTACTATCCATCGCTGAAGGTAAAAACACATTTAAAATAAACTTTAAACACTATTGATTTATCTACACTATCATGATAATAATTATTATTTTTATCATTACAGTCGATCTACGCAAGAATCTCTTTGGCCACAGAACTGGGAACTGGACTTTCCTTATGGGAACTGGGACAAGGACTGGATTATTTCTATGATCTCCTATAAGTGTGGAACTTCTTGGTAAAAGCAGCACATTGATTCATCTTGATTCAGGTTTTTTTGTCTTTAAACTGAAACAATCTTTGTAATGAAGCAGGGACAAAGTTTGGTTAATATTTAACTTGTTTGAGAGTCATGAATGTGTTGATAAATCTCGTCAGGGTGACTGAAATAAGCACTTGTTCAAAAAAAGGTACTTAAAGCAAAAGCAGGTCCTTCAGTTTGGTTTATTTTTTTAAGCTGAGCTTGTGATTTGTACAAATTGAAGTGTAGTAGCACATCTACATTCAACACAAAAAGTCAAATAAAAGGGGTTGGTTTGTGTTCGGTGGTAGGCTGAAGTTAGAAATCCCCTCTGTTTTTTTGGATCCACGTCTTTGCTGGAACAAAAACAACTAATTCTTCAATAATGCTTCATTACATATCAATACAGATTGTGTGCCTTTTTATTCAATTTATGACGATGATAAAAATAATTGAGACATTCACAGCATTGCCAAACATCTGACGAATTACCATTTGATTATGATTTCTTCTGAATAAATGTTTACATGAATTAAAGTCAGAACATTTATTTGGCATTACAAAGCAGGACCAGATTATTCACTGCGAGTGACGTTGACTGTATATTCTGTCCGGTTATTAGGTGTCTGTCGATGACTACATGAACGGCATCTTCTTCACTTGCTGAAAAGCAAATACAAACGTTAGCTGGTCTGAGAGACYACCATTAATTGTGTGTTTTCATGTGCAGTGGGTTAGCTCACCTGTGTACGATCCACCGCTGTCTTTTYCAAAATCTTCAACAATCAGGGGCAGGTTTGCAAAGTCGGGCTTCCGCACCAGTTCGAACACTGATGGCTTTTGAGGAAAAACGGTTACAGTTGATGAGTAAAGTGAAAGCATACCCGCTGCCCYGATAAACCTCTTAAGGCACATTTACTAACCCCGGTTAAGCTGTAACCACTGAAAATCCACCTCTGCCCTTCTGTGGCACAACACAGTCCTGACACGCCCTGACCCACGGCACAGACCGGCTCTGCAAAGTATGATGAAAGGAAAAACAGTATTCATTACTTATGTAGTTACCAAAAAAAAAGGTTTTAAAATGTCTTAAACTCACTTTGCTGAGAGATAAAGTGTGTAAGGATGCGGTGCAGAGAGCCGCTGTGGGCCAGATCGTGGAACGCCCCGGGGCAGTCTGGGATGAGCAGTGCCTGATATCTGGCTCCTTTAAAAAAAGATTATGAAGGTGCTTCTGAGCAAAGTGCAACAACAGCAGCAAAGGAAATAACTTAATGATGAAACAAATGTTCTCACCATCTATAGACTCAAGTTTAGCAGGTGTTGCGTAAGATTTGATGTTGAAGTCCTGCACCCATCGAGCAGTGCTTTCATCCACTCCAACAAAGTCTATCGTCTTTCCCTGCAGTTCAAAACACACTCAGAACAAATCCAGAAACATTCAGAGGTACTGAAGTCACACGGTGCAACTGCACCAGGATACGCAACATAAAGTTGAACTAATTTCAAAAATAGGTATGTATTTTCCATGGACATAGTTCAGTTTGATACCATAGTAAAGTAACTGTTCCCTTCATTTGTTGCAAACAATGTACATAAAAGGTCAAATTGTCATTTACTGTAAATGTCTTGATTAGGAATATTTTAAAAAGATAAAACTTGTGTCCCCCAATATCTGATTTTGTTTAATGTTTTCTCATGACCATTTCTGATCGTCTTCTTGAATGTTGAACCAAAAAGACGATGATAATGAATCAAAGGTTGGTATAATGCAGTGAATGTTTGGATGCCAATAATAAAGTATCACACCCCAGTGGTACTAGTGTCAAAAACCGCAGAGCTCATTTTGATCACACAGGAAATTGTTAAAGGAAAGTACGTAAGTACATGATAAGAATCAGCACTTAGATGTGGCAGTATGTTTCCACATTAGAAATGAGATGTGCTTGTACATAGATGAGTAAAAAGGGATAGTTAAAATATAATTTCATGGCTGAAAGCTGGATCTCAGTACAAATGTATTAAAATACACATCAGTTTGTTGGTAAATTAGGCTAGGATTTTGAAGCAGATGCATTTGATTTTCAAATGTGTAATTTAATAAAACAAAAACATCTAGGACATTAATTCCGCCTTTTTAAGTGTCTCAAATAAAAAAAATTTTGACAGCATAAATAGGACAAACCTTTCAGTCAGTAAGAATCTAATTATTCAAGAAATATTTAAGACTGGAATATTACACAAGTCTCATGAAAAAAGGTCTTCAGCAAAAAATAATTCACATTTATGTTTAATGTGAAGCCATTTGTAATTTTTTCTTAATAAAGGCTGTATAAAAAAAAACAAATCCTACATAAATGTCTTTTTTGAGCCGCTACGTAAAAGCGTAATGACGTCAAGCAGATCGGTCATTTTCTGTTGTGCTTTTTAAGATAAAAACTCTTACCCCCGGCGTGGCCACCTGCAGATTAAACGCTGTGCTACAAAGACTGAAGCACTGAAGGAAAGATTTGGCTGACACCCCTGATGAATAAAAACAACAACGATTGACAAACTATTTGACGGCAATAGCAATGATGACACACAAAAAACAGCTTATTTGAATAAATATCTCTTTTAATTTGAGATATATTTGACTCACCTTGAGGAGAAGCGCTTGCCACTATTAAACAAGTTGGTTTCGCAGACATGCTAAAATGTTTAGCTTAATGTGAATGAAAAGCTACAAAAAAAAAACGACGCTAGGTGGAAGTACTGTCAGCTGATAACAACATCCGCTTTGATATTTTCAAAATAAAAGTTCAAAACTAAAAGCACATTTCTGAGACCTTTTGCATTTCTGCAAACAGCGTAAAACAATTTATTGTTGACCAAGTAAATACATTTTTTGCTTTAAAAAGTTATATTTTAAAACCTTTTTAAACAAAATTCAGATTTCTTAGCCTTTTAAAAGTCTTTGATCTGTTTTCTTTGTTTTAAAATGATACATGAGTGGAATTATCTGTGAAGAAAGGATTAGTGCTGTCCTGCAGCTTTATGGTCTCTTTAGTGTTTGTAATTTTAAGACYTTTTATGTTTTATTATTTGGAAACAGCTGTACAGAACAATAGGCAAGAGATGAGATTTATAAACTTCAAAGAAAAGACTGGAAAGTTGGCAACCTCACATTAACAATGTTTTAAAATTAATACGGATCTTCTTTCAGGTTTCGATAAAGGCAGCAAGTGAACATCATCCCCACGAGCTGAAAGATAACAAAGAACTTGTTGGTTCCTCTTGTTGGAAATTGATGATCATATTCTTCTGCATTTTGCTCAGTGTTTAAATATTTACCTGTAGAAATGCAATCCCAACACCCACCGCACCAAGGATATATAACTGACTCTGGATGAAGACCTCTAATTTCATGATGCATCCTCCCTGGGGGGTTAAAATGTTGAATTGAATAAAAAAATCAGCTTACAGAATTGATGAAGACCTGTTTTTACCTCCACTTTGTAGATGTTGGATGGATGGTCCCTGCGGCCGCAGAGCTCACTGGGAGTTTTGCAGCAACTATCAGGAACGAGACGCTTATTMTCTGCTTTCTGGATCCACACACTGTCTGTCCAGTCGGAGTAGTTGTGACTACCACAGCACTTAAACTGCAGGGGGGAAAGAAGCAAATTAATGAAAATCTGAGTTTCATTAAGATCTTTTTTTTCTGCAATCATGACAGAATCAAACATCCCCCTCGCTTTGCACCTCCTGCTGTAGCTTGTCAACAGCCTGTGTGATGCTCTCCTCTCCTGGCTGATGGTATTTCTGCTGCATAGTGTCCTTTAGATTCTGTCTGAGCTCCTCGTCCAGCTGTGAAGAAGGAGAAGCATTTAAATGGAGGGGAAAAAAACAAAATCATCAGACACTACTCCTCCCATTATTAAAAATAGCCTCTCTGGTCAAGTTTCTTTCCTCCCTTGTAACATTCCTGTCTACCTGAGCATCTGCCCACACATAACTGAAAACATAATCCCACAGATTCTCTGACCTCAGTCCATGATTCACCAGAGCAGGTTTATAGTTTAACAGAGAGTGCAGAGCAAACTGGAGAGGTTCAAAATGAGCAATTTCACATTATTGTTAGAAGTGCCCCAAGCTTCACTGAAGTGCTACAGCTAGATGCCACTTCTTGTAAATAACAATTGATTTCTATTTTAACAACTGACTAATGTGATATTCACTATAAAGGTTTTGCAAAATAGTGTTTGCCTGAACTACTTTGTGACACATTTGAGATTCAACTTTGGTGTTGGCCTCAATCCTGTCAGCATAAAACTTTATTTCTTGAAACTGAGCTCATGCAAAGAGCCAAGTGTCATATTATTTGTTCCACAGAACCAACTTTTAAAAAAGGTTTGAATACAAAAACTGTTGAAGAAACTGATTCAAAAGAGGAACARGCATCATAAAATTACCTGCTGGCAGAAAGGGAAACACTGGAGCGAGAACAAGGAGGAAGAAAAAGAGTTGTGAGAAGAATGGAAAAGAACAAATGGAAGGCATGCAGAGAGCAAATCACACAAAAAAAGGCAGCAACTCAGGCACTTTTGGGTGTTAAATTTGTGAATATAAAAGGCAGAAATTAAGGAATTAATCAGGTTTGAAATCACATGAAGTAGAAGGATACACACTTTGCTGCCSTGACATTTAAAAACACAAAACTCATTTGTGTCAAAAATAATGACAGATTAATCTAACAGAAGTTAAAACAGGAGACAAGGCACCTCACCTGTTGATAGTTTATGTAAGCCAGGACTCCYGCAATGATTTCTAACAGGAAAATACACAGCAACAAAACCAAATACTGCAAAGAAATAAAACAATTTAAAAATATGAATAAACTCAAATTGAAAATAAAACAAACATTCAACCATCTTTAGTTTATGCAATCATGTGCAAAAGTGTGAACGAAACTTTATGAAACTGAAAAGTGAGACTGGTGAATAAATGGTGAAACAGTGGAAAAGGAATGTGTTTTTTTTATGTGGGAGGATATAAAAATAGACATGATGTCAGAGTTTGTGCAGCTCCACTGTTGAACTGTGTCATCTCACTGCACGTGTCTGCCTGAGTCTGAGAAGCCGCCCATGATGCCCCTCATTCCTGCGGCATGAGTCGCACTCTAAATGTGAACCCCTTAAAGATAAACTCTGCGTGTGTCTCTGTCAAATCTGACAGCYTAGACAGCCTGACATATGGAGCTGCACTGAATGGATGCAGACCAGAGGGTCAGCAGGGATTCACTTTCAACACACAGCTCAGACTGGTAAACATGTCTTACTTTCTGAATGGACWTATCAAAATAAAAGTAAAACAAAGCAATAAATAATACAAAAGTATGTTTTTTTCTTGTCTTTGTTGTGTGTTTTTAAGACTGACCCCCCCTTACCACAATTAAAAGACTTCTCATCTCCTTTAAAGTGGCACAGCATCCGATGATCCCGGTCACGATCACGACCACTCCAGCGACRATCAGGATGTAAGCAGAGGCTGAGTAGAAGTTGGAGTTTAACAAACTGATGTAGTCACTCTTTTCCACCAGAGTCCACACGCCCACTGCCAGCACGACCCCTCCTGCCAGCTTCCACAGCATACCACCATCATCAGCACAATTCAGACCAGATGCTCAGATCAAGAATGCAGCAGATAACTCAAAACAGTTCAGACATTGTTCCTAAAAAATACGATCAGAATGCAAACGAGACAACACCTTATTGATTTACTGTGACCCCCATCAGGCATGCAGCTTAATAGTGTTGGAGTCAGCTGCATTTAATACAAATATGTTGATCTTTTCATGCTTAAAATCTAAAATGAAACTTAACTGAGGAAAAAAAATAGCTGTTGCAACTTTTGCAARCAAGTGACTGTGTTGCAATACATTGTTTATTATTTATATTGCACATCTTTTCAAGCAGTATTTAGTACATTTGTTTAAAAAAAAAGTTCACTTTTTGCTTCTATTTTGGAAAATTCTTTATGTGGACTCACCCAGAATAAAATATTGAAGACAAAAAGTAGATATTTCAGACAAATTACCCCGCATGACTCTGTTTTTGTGCCGCGAGCTTCCATTCTGGACAAGAAAAAAGACAAACGAGAGGTCTAAACACTGCTGCACAGACACACAAAACATTAAGGAATGAGCTCATGTGTCAAACTCAAGGCCTGACAGCTTCTAAGAAGAATTGTCTTAAAATAAGCACATACTGCTTTAGAGCCACAGTTGACTGTAAACTACATTACCCATAATGCATGTCAATTATTCTACCAGAAAAATGC